TATATATATATATATATATATATATATATATATATATATATATATATGCTAAACAAAAAGTAATATATAAGTAATATAATAGTAAGTTTCAAGTTTTTATAGCATATAAAAATTTCAATTTCAATTGAACAGTGTCTGGGTACAAGTATTTTTAGGATATAATAATCAAAATGTTTGCAACAATGTTAATTACATTGATGTTAATTCTAATAGTATCAATAATAATAAAAATATTATTTAACCAATTCAACATGCCTTTCTTATATCACTGATCATATCCATCTATTTTCCTGTGTCTACCTCCTGTTTTTTCCAGCTAGCCATTGATAAAATAAGTCCCAAGTCAGCAAATATTCAGTTTCCTTCTTTTCCTTGATTATAAGTCTTACCCTATCCATTTCTGCATATTCTAGTATTTAGTAGAAATAAAATATTTCTTGATAGCTACCAACACAGACAAATCTATACCTACCTTATATCAGAACTGTTGCTCAAGAAAGGACATTTCCATTCCCCTGGCTTACTTCTATACAGCAAGGGAAGCGGTCCATCATTTGCTTGACAAAATTTTTCAAAGTCATCAGCAAAAGATTTATGCATAATTATAACATTTGCCTGCACAAATCCTGTCAATATAAAAAGGCAGACATTTAATCTAAAGTTATTTACTCAAATAAAAATATCATTTTTGGATGTAGTCATAAAGTGAAAAATATATTTCTGATATAGCGATCTTTTGTACTAAATTCCTTCTCCCATGTTGCTTGCTTAGATATTGCCAGGTATATACATATTGTAGTTAACATTAAGATTGACAAATGTATGGATAAATAATGAATTATCTCACTTATGTGCTCAGCACAATTTTAAAATAGCGTTCTATTTAACAGAATTAATTATTATTCTCTGATTTGATAAAATTCAGCGTCACCTTGAAAGATTCGTTTGAGATTTCATGAAACAGCCTTTCTTTGTTTTTAAAAATGCGTATTTGCAACCAAAACTTAATACTAAAATGTCACCATCAAGGTAAGCCTGCACTTTAGACATTCACCCTGGTGCCATCATAGGAAGTTGAAATACAGCGGTAAGAAATAGGTAAAACAAAAAGTTGAAATGTTGGATAAACAAAAAACTCTGCTGACAAAACAATAAGGCAGATTCAGTTTGGTGTATTGATGAAGGCGCTGGCCTAAACATAGGAGATGGTGAGTTCTATTCCCACCTTAGGAATGAAAGTTGGCTGGATGACTTTGGACCAGTCATTCTCTTTCAGTCCAATCCATGTCACAGGATTGTTATTGCAGGAAAAACAGGTGATGGAAGAAATATTAGGTATGTCTGTCGCCTTGAGCTATTTACAAAGTTATACAGGCCAGATAATAAATAAATAACTCTTAATCAGAAAAAGAGCCTCACTCTATAATGAAAATTAAAATCTGGAGATACTGTGGAAGGAATACTGTGAGTAGCTTTGCTGTATTGGCCATTGCAAAGATAAGACTGCCCTAAGTGCAAAAAACAAGTTGTTAGTGTTACACCTGGATGACCCTCCCCCTTCCTCTCATTCCGTTGAGTTGCACAAGTTCAAAATTACACAACAACTGCAAAGTACAAACTGCCTAACATTTCCTGTTTTTCTTTAAGTTTTATTGCAAAAATATTTTAAAAAGTCCTATGGAGTTTGGATGGTATACTGAATAATAATGACAATTCACACTTTCATATGGTAATTAAGCTACCATTCCTTAATCAATATTTAAACTCTGGTTTGCATTTCAAAGTCATGCTAAGCATAACCATAAAATGGCTTAGTTTGCCATGCACATGTAGCAATTGATATGCTAATTTATATGAATTAGAGAATAGAGTGTTAAGACAATTTGAACTGAAATTTCTGCATGATGCTAGTAATTTGAATAAACTATTTTTGGGGAAACATTTACATTAATTCATGAATTAATTAGTCTTCTGTTCAATCATTATTATATGTCATTTTGGGGAGGGGAGGGGAAATCTGCCTATGTTGCTCCTGTTTCATATTAGTCTGAAATTTGGAGAATAACTACCTACTTAACAGGATGTTAAGAAAATAACAGAAAAAATAACTACTAAACGGAGACAGCTTGATTGTCCTTCTGCCAGAAAGCTGGAATGTGAATAAAATATAATTTTAAAAAATACAGTCTTAAATTTATACATAAGAAATGACTTTGAGCATAGCCAACTAGGAATTTCCCTGTAGTGATCAGATCAGCTAAAACACTGTCTTGTCTAAAAATTAACTAGATTTACTAATTGAACAAAACGGAATAGAATGCTCATTCATCGTTTCTTGTGGTTGCAATAACCCTAACCCTATTAAAAATTATGGCATTTCACATGTGTATCTTCCAATTCATGCATGAACGTCTATAACATAGATTGAATGTTATTCCTAGTGCATCTCTTTTTTGTACTAAAACTGATTAAATTAAGAAACACAAGATGAAGTATTAAACTATTAAACTATTTCTTAATGCACATCGAGGGTTCACCAAAAGGATTTCATTGATCTACATTTATATTTACCTTCTGCCATTCCGGAGGTATTGCTAATGTTGAGTTTATTTGATCTAATCAGATTTCTGACAGCACAAGGAAGAAGACCTTTCAAACCTGCCAGTAAAACCATTTCATCCTGAAAGGTTGAAAAAATTATATTTTAGTTTTATAGATAGGTATTAAACTTGGATATTAATGACAGTTAGAAATTAAACAACCATTATTTTAAACTTATTATAATTTTATTCGATGAACTTTGTCTTTGAAATGGTGAATTGCTCAATCTTCCACTCCATGGATATTCTATCTGATTAGTTTTTAAAAGAAATGTGACTTCACCGTCTAATGAAATAGATAAAATATGAAGCATCACACAAGCCATGTAGAGGCATGGCATAAAAGATATTGCCTTTAGTGTTAAATTATATTCTATATAATATTCTATATAACTCTCTCATACACTTGCGCCTTAATAATTTAAGATTATTTCAATGACCTTTTCAGCATTCTATAATTACTACCTTCAGGATCTACCATTGATTACAAAAAACCCTCCAATATTTTATGTTTAAGTTTACCTTTAATTCCATTGAAGTCATTAGTTCTAAAGAAAATAATTCCTCAAGAAGTAACACTAATTTAAAGCATGGAACATTCACAGATGTTCTTTTAAAATTAAGGAGTTAATATTTAATCCATAATTGGTTACATATTTTGAATGTTTAAAAGAACTAAAATTTCTGGTATTTGTCCAAAGCAAGACTTCAATTGACTATTGTATCTTTGTTACAAGTATATAGAATTTTCACATTTTTTGCCATATATTTTACATATTTGGGTAAAAAATAAAAGACTTCATTAGTAGTTCTAGCCAGAATGGGAACTGTAGTTCAACAAGAAAAGCATAAATCCCTCTATTTTTAAAGAAACAACTTAATTCCTTTTCATCAATTAAAATATAAGAAAAAAGGAGGTGAGCAAATGAACAATGATAACCTTACCCTGCAGAGCTCTCTTTATTGATCCCAATTCTACTGATGCCCAATTCCATAATGAATTACATGTACTTCCTCTATGATACCATCTAAACTAATTAGGGTAAGGGAATTGTTGCCCAACCAGAGAACAATGCAAACATTTCAGAACCACAAAAAAAATGTTGCAAAGGGAAGTTAAGGGACAGTTATTTTCATAACTGGACTGCAAGTGGAGTTTTGAAACTATGCATGAACATTTGTTGTTTTTTTGCATATTCCATATAAAATGCATGTATCACAATTTTGACTCCAGTACTGACTGATATTTACTATATTTAAAATTGTTGTTCCCGATAGTGAGCTTTTACTCCTTAGACAATGAATTCATCATCCTTTTTAATATATGGTCTCTTACTGAACCTAATGAATTTTCTATCCTGATTAACATTACCAGAAGGGAGAAGTATATAATTTGTTGAATTTGGGAAACAAATTATATATTTCCACAGACAGATAAAACGCCTTCTTCTTAAGATGGGTATGGTTATTTGTGGATATTGTTGCCACAGTAGATAAGTATATTTAATTGGCTTGTAAACTATTCCATTTCAGCGATTTTAGATCTGCTGTTTTCAGCTTGTTAGAAGAAATGATATTAATGATTCTAGGATTACTCAAAATACTCACGAGAAGTGGCTGGTTGAACCCCTTTTTTCAGCCATCCCTACAGTTGTTTCCTGAAATCAAGAGTCCAATCTTGATATTTGGGGCATTTCCAGTTGAACAGTCCTTGCATAATCCAAGACTTTAGATTTCATAATTTGATTCAGACAGTTATATTTTCAGACAAGCAGAATACTACAGAAATGGGTTTGTTAACATGTTGGTGAGTTTGCAATACTGCAGAACTGATAGACAATCTTGTCTTTCCTGGCAAAGAGATGAGCACAGAGATACCTCGGCCTGATCAATCTGCTGAGGAGCAAAGAGTGGTTTTTTTTCTTTTCGAAGGGAAGTTTTACACTGAAAAAATTCTGCCCTTTGTTCAGAGGGTAAACATAGGATTCTCTGTATTAGTTTTAGTGGCAAAGTATCTTATCCTTTTTCATCTGTACAGGTTGATCCCTTGAGTCATTCTGAGCCATCACTCAGCGGGATGAAAATGCAGACATTTCTGCAGTGACATTTGTTAAAAGACCTTCCTTTTTCATAAATACATTGAATCAGCAGCAGGAAGAAGCCAGAATATTACAGAAGAAGCAACTCTTGTGAAAGTGGAAGTATATGATGGATTTGCCCCCCACCCCCAACTTCAGTTCATGATCTGACTTGCATTCCCTTCTGGAAGTGGTCTTGGAAATAGAACTTATTCCTTTAAAATGATTAATGTTAAATAACAGTTTGCTTCTCTTGTTCCTTCTATTTGTTACCCTCCTAAGCTGGTTCAAACTTTTATAGCTCTATTGTGATAGACACTAACCTATGCAGATATAATCTACTTGATAAAAACAGAAATTTTTGGGTTACTTGGATGAATAACTAAAACATAGCTATGCATATTTCGTAAATTTCTTTATCTAACTGTATTTTTTATCTGCAAAGATCTTAAAGTGGTAGTAGATTGGAAAGTTACCATGTCAGCAATTGGCATGGTTGCAAAGTAATACTATAAATGAATTGTAGGCTGCATCAACAGAAGTAAAATTTCCAAATCATAGGAAATAATAATTTATTCTGCTTTGAACTATTTTAAGTTCTATGTTCTTTTCTGGAGATTACACTTTAAAAGAGATTCAGAGAAACTAGACCAGTTCAGAGAAGAGCAGTTAGACTGTTAACAGGATATTAACTAAGAAATGAAGTCCAACGATGCAAGATTTGAAGGAGCTGTAGGTGTTTAGATTTTAACCTTAGAAGAGATATGACAGCATTATTCCAATACCTTAAAGAATGTCATTGACATTCAGACTTTTCAGACTATAGTTCACAAAATAATCACGTTAAGTTACAGATTCCAGTTGACTGTTCTGACCTGAAATGACTACTTGCAGTAGCCATTATTTTTCCATGTTCATGTGTATTTTAAAAAAGGATAGGTTACTTTAATGAACAGCAGATCTCCTGTCTACATGCAAGCTCCAAAGTAGTTCTTCCATTTAAAATATGTTCAAACCATTTGTCTAGGCTGCTTTTACTCTGAAATATGTTAATATATAGGTTAGATCCAGTAATCATGTTGTAGCAGAAAAACAAAATTTTAATACTTCCACGTTTATCTCCTGTCTGTGCGAGGTCTTATGGGATGCTCCAAAATGGTTTTGTACATATTAAGTGCTATGAAAAGAAACCCATATAAAATTTCACTGAAGTTTTGATTTTGGTTTTAGAAGGTGTTTTTGTTTGCACATCAGTTTAGGTATACTTTGTATTTTTACTAATTTACCTAACAAACAAAAATATTTTCCTAAAAGGTTTAAAACCCGCTGAGACAATAATAATAGCAGCAACAACACAAACTGATTTGTGGAATACTAAATATTCTCTGCTCATTAATTAACTTTATTTTTCTATCCTAATAATCTCTTTATATGTTGCAATTTTAGGAGCTGAGATAGTATTAATGTTTGAATCAATGGCTAATATTTGTGGGGTATCATATTATACATAAAAACAATGAAGCTGTTGGTGCTTCTCAGGATGCTGTGGCTTTGTGCCATCGATGACCTTTCAGCTTGGCAAAGGCACTCTTGGGTGGCAACAGTGGGGCTGGGATTGAAGTAGAGTCCTGGAGTTTTCAGCCAGCTGCCACAGTCCCTGGGCCACTACTTCTGACTCAGTATCACTGAGAAATCCCACTTCAAGCTCCACATTGTGCCCAGCTGCCCCATCTCCACAGCACAAGCCTCGGGTGCCACTGCCCACTGTGCTCCAGACCTACAGGGTCCAGCTGATCTTTGCCATATTTCTTCCATTGCTGATTGCATAAGCCTGACGTTATGCAACGCTGCTTCTGCCTATGCCAGGCCTTCTTCTCATTCTCATGATGCTTCATTCAGACAGGTGGGTTGGGGGAGTTGAAGAGCAAACAGTTTCTTACCTTACTGAGGCAGTAGGCTGGGAGGACATGACTTCGCAACTAATAACAACAAGGCTGGGAGGGAGCCAACTAGGAATGGTTGGATCATAGTGCCCCTCACCTAACCTGTGCATTTTGGGTTTATGATAGTAACTAGGATTGCCCAGGATTCTAAGCTGAGAACAACAATAATTACAATAATAAAGTAACAGTACAAAATAAAGAGCTTATAGAGTCAAAAAAATGACATATACAGATAGTCCTTGATTTACATACCATTTATTTAGTGACCAAAGTTACAATGGCAGTGAAAAAAGTGACTTATGACTGTACATGTAATTATGATTGTTGTAGTATCCTTATGGTCACATGATCAAAATTTGGGTACTTGACAACTAGATGTATTTATGAAGGTTGCAGCATCCTGGAGGCATGTGACTGCCAATTTGTGACCTTCCCACTGTCCCAAAAGTGCTTTTATTAAGAAGCAACTGTACTTTCTGGTTTTTCTTTTCACTCCTCACCATCTAGTCAGAGCTGAAGAAGCTTCTTGGATGAGAAGTGAAATGTCTTCAGAGAAAAACCAGAAAGTCCAGTTGCCTCTTGAAAAAAGCATCTTTGGGACAACCATGACTGAGAACCTCCATAGACATCGACCTTCCCACTGGTTTTTGGCAGACAGGGAAGCCAGATTCACTTAATGGCCATGTCATTCATTTAACAACTGCCATGATTTGCTTAAAGAACCATAGCAAAAAAAAGGTCAGAAAATCAAGTGGGACTCACTTAACGTTCACATTGCTTAGCAACAAAAATTCTGGTCCAGATTGTGGTTGTAAATTGAGGACTACTTGTAATAAATCAACATCTGTACAGATATGATTTCACTGTCAGTTATCAGAGATCAGGCTTGCCAGTTAACAGGATATCAGAAGCAAGAAAAAAAGACTCAGTTATCAGATTTCATGTACGGCTTTAGGATGAGATAAGATGCAGTGCAAAGTAATTTTGAAATTATTATTCAAATACATTCTATATAATATCTTATAAGATACACAGCAGACGTACTCTCATATATTGAATTCAATTGCACTTTCTCAGTTTGCTTATGAACCATTTCATCTGTTTACCTTCACTTTGGCTTTTCAGAGATTAATTCCCAACTTCATATTCTGTATGAGTATTATATTCTTCTTTTATAAGAATATTATTTCTAGAATAGTGAACAATTAACTTATAAAAAACAAGCAAGAATATTTCTCCATATTACATAAAAGTGATAGTTCTATATCAGCTAATATTGAAAATAAACAGTGATTCTGTCTTGCTTTTATTAGTTTATTGTTCAAACTGAGCAACTTTGGGAAATAAATCACAGGTCTAATTATCCATTATCAGAAATGTGCTTTCAGTCTCCGTGAAACTCCCATAGCAAGGTCTGAAACAAGCTTACAGAGCAAAACCACTGCCAAAGTTTGCCCTCTCCACCAGGTTGCTTCAGCCCAGGACACCTAAAGCAGGGTTTCCATCCTTTTCCACCATGTGCTTAGGATGGAATGACAGCTCCTAGATCTATTCTGTAGTGAGACACTTTAATACAAGAATTAACTTCTAAATCAATGAAAAATAGACCAGCAACGTCGTTTCTATTTGGTTCATTTCCTTGCCTTTCAAAATTCATTCAGCATTTCATTAATGGTTCATGAGTATCCTGCATTGTCCTTTATGGAGCCTGTCACTTGAACTACCAGTCTCAGCTCCAGCTATTTTCTATACAGTCCTTCCTTTTAATGTGAACTATTTTTAGTTAGTATTTTAGTAAACAATGGGTGGTTTTTGGAGACCGTAAGGATCACAGTACAAGTAGGGGCAATATTACCAAGAGATCTTGCAATCGTCAGAATGTCAAAGCCTTTAAGTCACTCACCGCATTAATCTTCGTGCCCACGCAACCGATTACCTGCCTTTTTTTTTTTTTACACTAGGGAGGTAAAACTCGCAGATAGGAAAGATCTAAATTGGATGAAGTGGTGAGGGGAAAGGGAGAGAGAGAGAGAGGGGGGCAGCGCTCGCGATTGGTGGGGCCGCTAAACCAATCAGGATCCGTGTCTCTTAGCGGATGATTGGGATGAAGGGGGGTGTATTTTGTTACGGTCTTTAACCAATCCCCGGCCTGGAGTGTAATCTCTCAGGCCAATGAGCGTTCAGTTCGACTCCTTCTCTTGAATTGCTTGAGTAGATGGGGGCCCAGATTGAATTTCTTGGCTGTTCCAGGTTCTTTTACTCCCCCCGCATCCGCCGCTTTTTCTTTGGAGCGCTAGTCCCTCCTCTGGGAATGGAGGGGGAGAAGCGACCTGGAGGGCCTTGTTAGTGCGCTAAGCGGCAGTTAAATTCACGCTTGTCAGCTATAAGCGCCCCCTTTATTTATTTATTTGTTTGTTTGTTTGTTTGAACAGACAGAAACGCTCCACTACCAGCAACTCATGGAATACGTTTCTAAGGAATAACCTCCCCTCCCTCCCTTCGTGTGGGGCGGCACCGACCCAGGGTCCCTTTACTCATTTACCCCCCCCCCCCCTCCTCCCCATCTTCCCCCGACTTGGCCCTCCAGGGAGCGAGCTTTTGAGGAGATGGAGAGACCCGCCGGAGGCGCTGAGGAAGAAGAGGAGCCGTCGCTGCTCACCGTCAGGCACGAGCTGAAGAACGGTGAGTCTGCCCGTCTAAGTTAAAGAGGTGGGGAGGAGGCTGCAGGAGGGGCGGAGGAGTCTTCCCCACCCCGAAAAGTCCCCCGATAAAAAAAGGGGGCGCCCCGAAAGAGAAGGATGGGTCAGCGTAGAAAAAGTGTGGACGGCGTTGCAAAGGACCGGCGCGGAAGGCGGCGGCGAGGCAGAGAAACAAAGGCTTACAAGAGAGCGGCGCCTCGGGAGTAAAGGGAGCGGGGTGTCGATCGAGAGCAGCTGGCCAGGAGGGCGGTGTTGGGGCTGGCAGCCCTGGGAAGGGGCGGCGACTGGGCCCAGAGGACTCGGAAGAGAACGAACGGAGCAAGAAGGTTAGGCAAAGACTAAGAATCGGTGGCGAAATACGCGAATGATAACTGTTTCAATCTTTGTACTTAATATCCAGATGATGGCATCTTGTGAAACCAGCCCACCCCCTAACTTAAAAGGACTGACGAAATAAAACGGGGGCGACTTTCATGGGCTCTCCATTCAATTACTCTTGTACATTCAGAACAAAAGTTATTTAGAAAACTGCCAAGGAAGCCACCAGATTCTCCACTTGCCCATGTCCTGAGGGGGCTGATGTCTTGGAAGAACATAAAACTTCTACAAGAACCAATGATGGCTCTGCATTTTGGCCAAAGTTCACCTATTAATAAATTCCTGGCTAGTGTCAGTTCTATAATTTCTGGAGACTGGTGAAATAAGATACAAAAGTGCTACATGTACTGTTTTACCCAACATTGCCCATATTTTGGACAATTGCTCACAATGCTATATTTCCAAACAACACAAATTTAGCAATTACATATAGCTAGAGGATGTTGATGACAATAAAGTAACATGGACACATTCAAAGTCATCAGGAATTGAGGTCAACTTGAGATAATTTCTACCTGTACTATAGCATTTCAAATATATTGACATGAATCATGTTAGCTGCCAGTGGCATAATACAATCTTTTTAAAAACTTCCCAGAATATTAATTTCCCAGTCAAGTCCTCATGACTTTTTCTAACTTGTCATTTACATTTATATTAGAATTACCTACCAAGCTCAGTGGTCTTCCTTTTTATACTGAACCGTAATACCTTTTTTTTGCTTAAGAAAAGAAAAGGGGATGCAATATAAATTTTAGTATGCTTCTCTCCCCTTTTGGAAAAATCTGTTTATGTGGCTCTTGTAAGTCATTTGTATAGCCCTGATGAAAAAAGGGGAAGATATTCCTCTGGCTGTTTCATAACCAATCAGGATCTTCAAAATACTCTCTGCCTCTCCTGGGCCACAACTGATGATAATACTTTTTGTCAGGAAAAGTTGTTATCGTATTGCATCTGTACAGAAAGATTGAAATAGTTAATTGTAAGTTGTCAGAAAAGTTTCAAGTGAACCTGCAGCAATAAGATACAAAATTTCAACAACAGTCTTAAACTATCCTAAATAAAATCCAAAGAGTTATTGCCTTGAAACAATTTTATGTTCTTTAAAATGAAATCTTATATTTCTTAAATATAGCATATTTAATATATTGTTTGAAAAAAACTGCATAGTAGTAATTAACACAGATAAAATTGACAGGTACAAAATGTACACATGCTTATAAATAGTATTTAAAAATACTTTTGAAAGCATTATGTAGATAAAATATTATAAATTATTTTATACAGGTTGATATAAGAATACTTTTAACTCATCACTGAAAATAGTTTTTTAAAATATTTAGATCAAAATGTTTAGATTTGTTATGTCTGTATCTTAGGGTCTCTATTTGTCATAACATTCAGGGCATTTGAATATGGGCATTTGAATATAGAATAGAATAGAATTCTTTATTGGCCAAGTGTGATTGGACACATAGGGAATTTATCTTGGCGCATATATCATAGATAATTTAACAGGATCTCTAAATAGCCTGTTTTGAGTCTAAGAACTGATAAGAAGAGCCAAAAGATCAGCATCGGCTCAGTTATGGTAGGTGCTGGTTTTAGCAGATTTATTATTGTAATTCCAAGGAAACTATGGCTTTGATGGATGAGGACAAATGATGTAGATGATAAAAAGTTAATTGCAAGGAGAAAGTAAACTCAATGTATTGGAAAATTGAGAACATACTAATTCCCCCTACATTGTTGGGATGACAAAGTCCTTTCCTCATGGCTGTCTGTTGGAGTGTGACCTGGAATAAGCCTACACTTCTTGATCTTATTGGGAAAGCAAACATTATTGAGAGAAAGTGGTTCTTCAGACATTCAAGCTTGGAACCATCAAGTATTTAAAAAGTGACAAGCAGTACCTTGAATTGCACATGTAAGCTACCAGTAACTGGTATCAAATAGTTCCTCCAAGTAGAAGTATTCTATGACAAGAAAAACTCATGTGCAATCTGTTACATCATTTTAAAAAATAGTTTTCTATGAAAGCTGTTTTATTAGATGATTTTTGTAATTGTTGAACTAAAAAAGTTTATCAGTTAGATCATCTTGCTTCCAGAGGATATTTGAAATCAAGTTGAAGGTAGCTAAAACACATCTAGCAAGACTGTTGAGAATATTCAAAAGCAAAGAAGCACACACACACACACACACACACATATGATGTATCACTTTTGAAACAGAACAATTATATCATTTGCAAGATTCATTTTTCTCTTTAGAAGTTCTTCAAAACTATTTCTGTCTGCATGAGTAACCACTTCGGTTTATGCAAGTTTTATGAATTATGATTAACATATTATCTAAGTTCCAATTAAATGAATATATGATGCAGATATCTTCATTTTATAAATGTTAATTTTAGTAGCTAAAGTATGTTGTGAATTACAGAATATATCTTTAGTGTTTTTGTATGCAATATTGGAATATTTTGTTCTCGCTTTTCTGTTTCTGTATGATGCTACAAGAAGATGAAACATTAAATATGACTTGCAGTATTTGTTTTTATGATCTGACATAGCAGTTTTCCCAAATAGTTCATAATATCCTATGGATGTACAATTTGTGTAGTTAAGATAGGTAAAACAAATGCATTAGTCAATGCATAACAAAGCTTAACTGTATATTTATTGTTTGGGTTTTCCTTTAAAATCATTTTAAATTGTCTACTATTGACCTCACCCCTTTCCTAAGAGGTCTGTAGGGGGCATGCATAAGCGCACCAACGTGCCTACTGTCCCTGTCCTATTGGTTCTTTTATTTTTCTTATATGTACCCATTTCATGTATTGATAACTATGTATATACTTATACCTATTATCTTGTAAGCGATTGACAAATCAAAATAAATAATTGTTCTGTATTCATTGCACTGAAAATTAAATGGCAGTTGATTTTAAAATATTTATTTCATTTTAACATATATGAGAATCTTTTTTAATAGATAATGCTCTTGTTTGCTTATAAATCAGATAGGCCAATATTGGTTGTTTCAGTTTAGTAGAGGTTTAATGTATTGACTTCAAGTGATATATGTACATGCATACCTACCCAGAATTTTGCTACATGGAGAAAAGCGATTGATCCAATTACTAAGAATGTTGTGATATATAATTGTAAATGATTCAGAATTTAAGAACTGAATCCTGACAACAGTGACTTATCCTTCTGACTTGCAGTTAGACTATTGCTCTAAATGAAACTATATCTTAAATGATATGGAAACTGTAGTTCATACAAATTGCAGTTGCCAAGATGTTCGTGGACGAGAGAAACTACCCTTATATAATAGTTGTCTTTTGGTGTCTTCAGTGGATGCCAATAGGTTTCTGAATTCAATTGTAAGTACTAACCTTTGTCTTAATAGGCCAGGGTATCTGAGAGAACATCTCTTTCTAATTTATTCTGCCTGTCAGATGCATACTTCCACGGTGAAGATGCTTAGAAACCTATACTTGAAAAGGGATAAAGGGGATCTGGGCCTGTAAGCAATACTGTGTCTACTTTTCTGATATGTTGGGATAAAGAAGTATGCTGGGTATACTGGGGTATGCTGACTGGGTTAAAAAAACAACAACCCTATCCCAGGCTAATCATAATCTTGGTTTTTAATTTTTATTCAATTTTTCTAATTTTTATTGTTTTAGTACTTTTTAATTTTCTATTATATTGATGAACTGCCTAGAGTCATTGTTTCAGTGAGATGGGCAACATAGAAATTTAATAAATAAATAATTTTAAATCTTATTTATTTCATAAAATTACAATTTTGTGGAAAGTTTACCAATAAGAGGACATGTTCAGCAGCTATTTTTACTGTTATACCTTAACTAGTATAACTAGTATAACTAGTTAACTAGTATATTATAACATTCATCCAATACTTTGAAATGATTAATTGAGATGGAATAATTGATTTTCTCATTATAAAAATCTATACACTTTAAATAAAATTATATTCATTTTAATTGTTATATACCTGGAAATCTGAATACCATGACACTTTAGTAACAGCTGTGTTATAGATATTATAAGAATAATGGAGGAATCTTAATCATGGATACCATATAATTTATATTACTACATGTTTGCTTGTTAGTGTGTGTAATATTGACACTGTAATGTTTTTTTCTTTTGTTAGCAAACTTGACAGGCCACACAGAGAAGGTGGGCATTGAGAACTTTGAACTTCTCAAAATTCTTGGGACAGGAGGTATGAATTATTTAATGTTGCTAATAAAGCATGAATGAACTTTTTAAAACATTCACCAAATAAAATTCTATTTTACAGATAAATATTTTGAGTGTGTGGAGTAGGCAGTAAGAGGTATCAATCAATCAAACTTCCCAACTAAAACAATCAGGCAAGGAAGTAGAATTTTTTAATTATTTATTAGATTGCATTCTTCTTTTCAGTTAGGAGCTCATGGCAGTGTACATTTTGCTCCCTCCTCCTAGTTTTCCATCACCCAATGAGATCCATAAATGAAGGTTGGTTAGAGGTACTGGGCCTCCTCCCCACTTCAAAACCAATACTAAGATGACTTCATTTCAGGCAAACCAAATCCATTTTGGAATAGTTGCAAAGTCAAGTACAGACTGACTCAATTCAGAGTCAGGAAAACATTCTAGGCAACTGGTAATAGAAACAAATGACTATAACTATTGCTTTCAGCACTGGATCATTTCCATATACTTACTTTTATATTCCATATTTCAAATCTCTGCCATAACA